TGAAGTCGCTCTCCTTCTACCTTATCCAGCTACTTGTAGAGCCCCGAGCCCCTGGGGTTGCCCTGCCTTTGGGCACTCCTCACCACACCACACCCTGGAACAAATTATGTGTCTGGAGCAAAGTGCGGATTGAGCTTGGGTCTAAGATTCTGGGTTCTGGTTGTTTGGAGATCAGGCTTGGCTTCCATTTTTAATCCCGTTGCGTTTCTACCCACCACATCCCACCAATTCTTCAGAAAACTTGGAAATTAATATTTGTTAGAGGTTGACATACCCTACTGCAAAATCCCCATCAGCCATCCACCTGCACTTGCCTCACATGGAGGCTCAGGACCCAGTGATCCAACCAACCCAGGCCCTGGCCCCTAGGAATACTTTGTGAGCCTCCTCAACCCTGGGTAGCCTGGGAGCAATCTGGGGCATCTAGTCCTATACTGGTCCTGAGGGTTATGTATACCTACCTGTAGCCATTACAGAAGATCATCCAACAGTGGTTAACAGGGAGCTGGCAGAGGTTCAGGCCGGATTCAGAAGAGAATGTAGAACAAGGGCTATCATTACTGATGTCAGATGGATCTTGGCTCAAAGCAGATAATACCAGAAAGATGTTTACTTGTGTTTCATTGACTATATCGACGCGTTCAAATGTGTGGATCATAAAACAAACTACAGATAATCTTGTGAACAATGGGAATTACAGAGCCTTTCATTGTGCGCATGCAGCAGCAGTTGTGTGAATAGGACGAGGGAATACTGCATGGTTTAAAATTATGAAAGGGTTGTGTCAGGGTTGTATTCTCTCACCACATGTATTCAATCTGTATGCTGAGCAAATAGTCAGAGAAGCTGGATTATATGAAGAAGAATAGTATCAGGATGGGAGGAAGGCTTATTAACTGCCTGTGATAGTCAAATGACACAACCTTGCTTGCTGAAAGCGAGGAGGACTTGAAACCCTTGCTGATGGAGACCAAGGATTGCAGCCTTCAATATGGATTACAACTCAATGCAAAGACGAACAAAGTCATCACCACCGGACTAATAGGGGACATCATGATCAATGGAGAAAATATTGAAGTTATCAAGGATTTCGTCTTACTTGGGTCCACAATCAATGCACATGGCAGCATCAGTCAAGAGATCGAAAGATGAGTTGCATTGGGTAAATCTGCTGCACAAGAGCTCATGAAAGTGTTTAAAAGCAAGGATGCTCTTTTGAGAACGTGGCTCCTGACCCAAGCCAGGGTATCTTCAATCACCTCCTGTGCATGTGAAAAGTTGGACATTGCCTAAGGAAGACCACAGAAAGACGGAAGCACTGGACTGGTGGGGCTGGGGAAGGATATTGAAAGTCTCATGGACTTCCAAAGGGACAAAGATATCCGTCTCGGAAGAATAAAGCCAGAATGCTTCTTCGAGGCGAGGACGGCAAGACTTCATCCCATTGGCTTTGGACGTGTTAAGAACGAGAGACCAGCCTCTGGAGCAGGACATCATGCTTGGTAACGCGGAGGGGCGGTGGAAAACAGATGACCCTGAGGAGGCGAATGGCCACAGTGGCTGCAACAATGGGCTCAAGCGTAAGAAGAGCTGTGAGGAGGGCGCAGGGCCGGCAGTGTTTTGCTCTGTTGTGCACTGGGTCACTGTGAGTCAGAACTGACTCAAAGGCACTTAACACCTGCAGCAACAACAACCCACTGTGGCTAACCCCACAGGGGACCTTTTGGGGCAGGCGATGAATTGATGACTCAGAGGTCTGGTACCACTTGTCCACCAGGTAGGTGACCTCACCGAGGTTAATCAGTGAGAGGTCTTACCCTAAAGCAGGTAAGAAGCACCTCTGCGGGTTGGGAAATGTAACAGTCCACAGCGTGAAGGCAAGACACCACAGAGCAGCCCACTACTTGGGTCATGCGCTAATCTTTGTCAAAGGGATGGCCGAGGGAACTGGTGTTGACAGTGGCTTTGAAGATGAGACTCAATAAGTTTGGCCAAAGAGCATCCTGCCCTCATGGTTCAAGGGCAGGTGGTTGCCCTGTGCTTCAGGTGGTGATGTGTCTTGAGGTCCTTGTGCTTCTTGAAGTTCATGTGACACTTGCCGTGGGACCTAGCAGGATCACCTGCAGGGATCAATTCTGCATTTTTCCTTACTCATGACCCAGCTCCCCATGCAGATGAGGCACTGATGCTAGGGCAAGGCTTTCTCTCTGTGCCAGCTCTTGGGGAAGGTCCAGGCTTGTTTTTACCCTTTGTTCTTCAGTCTGTTGGCAATCTTCATGCGCCAGATATCTTCCTGGATGTTTCTGTGTGCTTCTGTGGGTCTCATCTGCCTATCTATCTATCTATCTATCTATCTATCTATCTATCTATCTATCTATCTATCTATCATCTATCTATCTATCATCTATCTATCCATCTATCTATCTATCAATCAACCATCTATCAATCTTCTCAAAGGTGTTTGGTTTAACACATCAAAACCCTCAAACTCATTGCCATTTAATCGATTCTGACTCACAGTGACCCGATAGGAAAGGGTAGAACTGCCCCATGGGTTTCTGAGACTGTACCTCTTTAAGGAGTAGAAAGGCTCATCTCCTGTTGAACACACATCCTGTACTAATATGGTCTTATAAAAATAACAAAGAAAACCCAATTCCCAAATAATATTACGTAGGATTTATAACACATTTTTGGGGGACAAAATTCAATCCGTAACTAAGGATGAACCTTTCGTGAGGCGATGCGGAAGTCAGTATCCTCTGCCCAGACTCTCACCACCCTCCTCTTCTTCAGGGTCAGAGTGGACCACTGTCCTTAGAAGGTTATTTACCAGCGTTTTAGGCCAGCCTGTCACCTGCTGGAGGGCAGGCCACACCCCTTTTGTCTGCTTCTCCAGGATCCGGCACTTGGCAATGACCCTGTTCTAATGTGTGTGAAACAGAACGGAAATAACATTCCTTCCTGATCCTTCCACTTCCTCATTGGCTTCTCTTCCTTTCACGTGCTCTGATGAGGCCACCCTTCACCTGGGCTTCTCCCAGAGACTCTGATGCAATGTCGCGCTGGCCTTCTCCCTGAAGCCAGTTCAGAGCCTGACAACCCTTGGGTATCCTCAGACCAGCTGGCCCCCGGCTTCCCAGCCCCGTCTCCCTCACCTTCTTGGTCCATGTTTGGGTCCAGGAGCTGCTTTCGTGTCTGTGGGCTCTGCCGGAAGGCTTCCTGGAGGCAACTTCTGTGCCTCACTCCCCTGCTGGGTAAAGCTTTCCGGGCACTTATTCAGAACAAGCACTTGAGGCTCTTGTTCTCCAGCCTGATTGGACACGGCTCTGTGGGCGGGCAGCTGTGTGGGTAAGACCTCAGAAACGGGGGCCAGGAGCCTGATCTCCTCACACCAGGCCAGGTCAGCACCAAAGGGATCACCCACTCCTTCCTGGGTGCCTGAATCCACCCCCACCTCCTCCCACACCTCCAGGCCTCTCTTCCGCCAGTCAGGCCTTTTCCCTGGAAGCCTAGTTCTGACTTTTGTGGGCAAGGGCAAGCTGCGGTCAGCTTAGGGAGGCACCCTGCCTTGCTGGTCTCAGCTGAGGTTGGGCTGCTTTAGGTTCGTTAGGGGCCAGGAACCCCACCATATGACTTCTCAGACCCGGCCTCTGCTGCCCTGGTGGAGACAAGGAATGCAGGCCGGCAGCATGCAATACCTGGTGGCACAGGGCCAAGCACAGCCTCAGTGCCTGTGTCTAGGGCCCGCCCCCTCTGGGACCCTGGAAAGACCTGCAGTGAAGCCTGAGTGTGTCCTGTAAAGGGACCAGAGGGGCCTCGGGCTGGTCCCAGCGTCAGGACAGTGGAAGTTAATGTGCAGTCAGGGATGGCCCTCTGCTACCTTCCCCACAGACTTGTATTAAATGCTTCCTGACACTAATGATTAACATGCATGTGGCCTTTTCCATTCAGCTAAATCCTCCCATAGCCCTGAGCTCATCCCACTTCCCAGCTACCCTGCGGGATAGATCTAGTCACCCCTGTTTGAGAGAAGCTGAAAGCATTTTCCTGGGGTCCCAGTGAAACTCGGATGGGAATCTGGTGCCTGACTTAGAGAGCCTGTGCTTTCCCCTGCAGCCCCCAGCCCATCACAGACTAAGGCATGTTCTCTTTGGAGACCACCCAGGGGCCTAGAACTATACCTGGAGAGAAGGGGTAGCCT